CCCCAAAACCCCAAAACCCCAAAACCCCAAAACCCCACCTGGGCAGTACTAATTGAAATATTTATGGCTATACTCAAAGTCAATAGCTTTGCTAATGAGCTGATCCCACTTTAGATTCGGAGCATTATGCGCATTTGCAGCTTGAGGAGTTAACTCCTCCTCTTCCATAATGTTAAATTGAATTTCTTCTAAGAATTGAACTACCTATTCTAAGTTAGAAAAGAGCTTACCAGTGCATAGAAGAATGGCCAACCTTTTGGAATGAAGTTGTCGTAAAATAGTTTGTATTTCTCAATCGGAATTTTGCCTCCAAACAGACCTCATATTAGCTCAATTGTGTACATTTGAACCGGAATAGCTTGTGTATGGAAGTAATTATAAAGAGTTCTGCAGTGCTGAGATACCATCTTTTCTAGAATCAAACAGTGGTCTGTAATTCCAGGCATTCCTGGTTCATAATTATGAATTATGTTATGCTTTTCAAACATTTTAACGAATAGACAAAAGGCAACATCAGCTTGACCATGATACAACAGAGTCGATGCAATCATGTTCATACCTTGTACATATCCACTTTCTGCTGATAATGGATGTGCCAGGAACTTTAAGAGTAGTTTTCTAGCATCAGAGTACCCTCTTGATCCCTCTCTAAAATAAGGCATCATCTGGAAAGTTCTGTTCAGATCCTTACAAAGTTGTGAGTCTTCATCACATTGTTTCTCGTCAATTTTTGTGCGGTAAAAGAACTCTATCAGTTTGTTAAATTCAGGGTTATCCCTGGGATTAAAGCTCTGATCTTCTTCGCCTAAGAATCAAATAGAGAGCCACTTCTGCATGCTGATTCATCACTTCAGTGTAGAAACACTTGACAGCATGCAGCTGCATTGGTTGCCTTTTATCTTAGGCAAAAAGTTGATCTTCTTGATTTCCTCATCACAGGAATTAGGATCAATAGATACATTTGTAGAGAATAATTTGTCTGTAGTAGAGTAATCTTTGAGGTTATCTAACCTTCTGGAGTCAGTATCACTCATCTTAATGGAGAAATTTGCCTCATCATTGCTCTTATATGACGAAATAATGTTAGAATCATCAAAGATGGTCTTCTTATAAGCCTCCACTTGGTTTGTTGGGTTCTGGCAAAATTTAGCAAACTGACCAGAGCTCTTATAACTCGCAAGGATCCTGTGTCTCTCATAGTTGTTCTCATATATAGCGTTGCTTTCTTTATTCTCCTTGTTCTCTTTATTTTCTTCATCAAAAATCTCACTGATCGGGTGCATCTTCATATTGTCTTCCTTATTATGAAGGATATTTACATCAGGCTGAATATTTAGGTTCACAGTAGCCTTGGTGTTAAGCACTGAACTTCTGATGTTCTCAGTCAACACAGAGGTTTTTAAACTGTTAGCGTTATCATAAGTGAGTCTCTTGCAGTTATTCAGCTGGGAGTTCTTTCCAAACTTCTTGTGAACATTGTTGAGTCTCTTTATCTTCTTTTTAAAAGTTTTGAGGCATCCTTGGGTCTGCTTTCAAGAGATATCTATAAATCACTAAGACGCAGCCTACCTGATGCTTTGAAATTAGGGATCAGGGTAGCTTTCCTAGCTTTCTTGAGAAGATTTTCTCCTATAACAGGGCTGCTTGGAGTGGTTGACCTTCCTTTGGTAAGCCACTTCTGAAGTACAGAACCCGTCTTGATGTCACTGACTGTTTTCTCTACTGATTTGTTATTTAAGCTCATTGAGAGTTTTATGCTTCATGATTCTTGATTGCTTGATGGAACTAGGCTGCAGTAGTAAAAATTTAGACTCACTTTTCGAACTCTATTTTGTCAGGATGTTACTTACTCTTCTTGAAGTACTTTCTCTCCTTGAGCTTTGGATAGGCAGCTTGGAGTACTTGATCTTTCTATGGATTAGGAAATAACTCACCTGCTGTTGCGTGAGTTGGCATCTGAAATATCTTTGTTGCTCATCATCATTGGATGCAGCTCTCTTAAAGTCAACTTTTTCTTTGTGTCATCTAGTGTTCCGGGATTAGAGGTATTATCTTCTACTTTATCCTGGGCTTTCTTGTAGAGGGATCATAAGCTTGAGTTCTCTTTTGAGAAGGAATTTTTATACCTCTTCTTGATTAAAGAGTGGTTGGCAACAGGAGAGATATTGCAATTCTCATTCTCTAGCATAGAAGTCCTTACTCCATATCCACGAGATCTATACCTTCCTACACTTAATTGGTTGCCTTGGTTTTCACTAATACTTTCCTTATTTGTTACGAGATTTAAGGTTGAGTGACTTTATAGGGTTTCTGTTTCTTTGAATTACTGCTTTCTTATCTTTCATACTTCCAAAGTTCGTGGTGTAAGCTGCTCGGAGCTTGTGCTTAAATCTTGCTCTATTTTTAGTAGTATTTGATAGAAAATGCTTGAAACTGGCCTCCTTTCTCTTAGTAGAAATCTTTCAAAATTTATTTGTATCAATAGACTAGAGGATTAGTTAAGAAATTACATTCACTTCATGAAGGTCACTACGTCTACTGGAAGTCTGAGCTTGAGAACCTAAAAGAGAGGCCTCATTTAGAACATGATGAGACTCAGTGTGAACTCTCTTGGTTGATGGAATATGGCTCCCTTTAACTTTGATCGAATAGACCTTATTAACCGATAGTCTCTTGATGGACCTATTCGGAGGTATCCTCTTTTCAGAAGTATCTTTAGTAACTTTTAACGTATTCATTTTCAAAAAGTGTTTAAATTCAATTAGAATATTTTTCTTAGGGGTTTTGGGGTTTTGGGGTTTTGGGGTTTTGGGG